ACTAAGAATTTTTTATTTTAATGATCATCGTGATTACAAAAATAGCAAATCACATAGCTCAGTTTATTTACTATGAAAATTTGGAAGTCAAATATTATTTGACTCAGTATTTATTAGAGAATTTTAAATTGTTTTCATCTGTCATGTCTTATTCCTAAATCTTATGTTTATAATATGCTTATGTTTCTTAATGCTATGCACTTGGCAGGCTATAATGGATAAAACTTATAATAGCTTTCTGCAATTTGAAGAATTTTAACAGGGACACACTATTTCTGGCTTATATAAGCAAAGAAAACAGTTGTATAACTTTGGTATTTCTAAATCACTAATGATCCTACAATTTTTCATTTTATTTTAATAAACATAAAAATATTTTAATGAATTCTGATTTGGAGAGATGCCTGATATCAATTTTACTATAAATTACAGGATATTGGACCTCTCTATTCTGCTTACCAAGGCCAACATGAGGATTAATATCATAGTGAAACTAAAATAACTACAATCTAGGGAAAAAGCAATAGAAATGTACAGTAAACCCACAGTAATAAATGATGCTTTAAAAATATAATGCTGAAATTTGCCCTCAAATAAAAACTCACTGCAAATAAGTGTTTTACTGTTATATTTAACTAAATTGAGTTCCCTTGCTGGAGAAAAAAGGCTAATTACTAAAACTACCAAAAAATACTAGTAAGGTCAAAGAATTGGCTATCCCTTGGCTAGCCAACTAATTTTGTGCTGTGCTAACATTGCTTAGTTGACAAGATTTTACGTCATGTCTTCAGTAGTAAGTATTTTCAAATTCTGGATTTTAAAATTTCACATGTAAATCAAACACATCTCAACATCTCAAGAGGTCATCTCAACCCTCTTGACCTCTTTGTAGTAGTTGGTGACTGGATAGTTGAGGGAAAACTTTTTCTTTTAGTTTTTCTTTGTCTACACTGTTAGAATTAGCCAAACAAAGTTTTATAAATTTCAATGAAAATTATCTAAATGCAAAATGCCTTCACAATTTTCTCTAATCTCAGGAACCTGTATGGAGAAGAAATGATTTAAAATATATTCACTCTAGGTTCATCAATAAACAGTCTTTATATTTTTTATTTTGTCTCATTTTCAAATGGCATTTAAAGTCATAGGTATATAAAGCATATTTTAAACTTTAAGTCTTTGTTGTATTTTAACCTAATTTTAATAATTTAATGCAGAAATATTTGTTTCACCCACTGTAGCAATTCTATCAGATAAGGTCTTATTGATAATCCAAATTTTAACCTTGTTACAAATATTTGTATTTGATTTCTTTCATCTCAGATTGCAAACATGTAAGTAAATTGTCTAAAAATTATCTGGCTTACTTTTTTATGGTTTCTGTCCTTTATTAATCTCATTGTCTTGGTTACTTTTCTTGTTGTTGAGACAAAACACCTGACACCCAAAGTTAAAGGAGGAAAGATTGATTTAGCTCAGTTTGTAGAGTTTTCAGTTCTTAGTTGGCTGGCTTCAAGGCAGGGTAGTTTATGGTAGGCAGAAGGCAACAAAGCAGCAAAGTAATGAAGAAGCAGCACAGACCTCACCAGCCTTTTCTGTTCCTTATATTTTTATCCAGGCAACCTCTCTTTAGGGCACGTAGTACTCATACCAAGCACAGACCTTCCCATTATCCACTCCTAGAACTATGCCAAACCAATCACTGGGCTAATTTAGTAATCACACACCCTGATCCCAGCATCACATACACTAGATATAGCCATCTCTGGAAAGCCCCATCTATGACTCCATGAGGCTTTGGAAAGGACATCTAGATACAAGCTATAGCACTTGCTCTGTCTCCTGTCCTCTTCTCAAAGATTTAAATATTAACCTGGAAGACTTGAATATTTGAATATCAAAATTATTCAAAGGATTTTTTTAACCGAGGTTCTTTTCTTCTCTGAAATTTGAAGTTATATTACTCTATCCTTGGAATATTTAAATTTTACCTTTGGTATTTTCCATGTCAAAGAATGGCTCTTAAATTATTTGGGAATTGTTTTTGGCAAATACATCATTAGGTAACTTCTCAAACATTATTTTTGACAGTACATTGTGTCATTATCTGAAGTTTTATATTATGCCTAATTATTAAATCCCACTGAACTCTAAAAGTTACAATGCTATTGTGATGATAAAGTGTACTTATAGAAATATTGCATAACAAATTGTCTTAGCTGCATCAGATGACAGTTGCACACCCACGTGTTTGTGCACACACAGTCAATTCAAAAGAAATTATTGACGTATTGACCTGAAGAGGAATTGTGTGTAGAGTATTAAATTAATTTTTTTCTTCATCCAGATCAGTGTAACATTCTGTTGCTCTTTCAGAAATTCAGTCTTCTTTTTTACTGTCTCATAAGATAGCCAGTAACCACATGTGGCTACTTAGCTTGTGAAGTGTACTAAGTGCAAATTGAGACTTAGTACAAAAAAACCAAACAAAGGAAAACATCTTACTAGTAATTGGTATGTTTAATATATAAATAGTAATATTTATGGTATGTTTGCTTTATCCAACCTACCACTAAAGCAAATTTGTGATTTCTTTCTTACTTCTCTTAATGCTTAAATTTTCAAACAATGTATAATTTTGCATTTGAGATTCACATTATATCTCAACTGGACCTTAGCGGTCGAGGTGCTCCAACAGTATCGTTCACAAAATCCAGATACTGTGGCGATATATTCCTGGTACATATTTATAGTAGCAGATGGTGATACTTGCTTAAATACACGTGGAACACTAATAGCATGTTCAGTGTTTTATACAATTTACATAGATAGGCTTTTCTATAGATGAAAATTGCTATAGAAGTAATTTCAAGTGGTAACACATCAATCATAGACATCATTTATCAGTGATTCATTTATACTTACGAGTTAATTTGTTTTCAATAGTGTGAAATAAAGAATTTTCTCATGCCACCTTCACTTTTCACCTCCTACTGAACCCAAATTGTAGCTTTGGGGCCATGATTACCTATGAAAATTAGGGACAGTGTCAAAGTAAATTCGGTGACACGATTTGTTAATTTTGTTGGTGAAGTTCAAACTATTTTTTAGCAACATCTTCTCCCCTCCTCCAGGCATCCCTTCAGGGACATTAATCAAAAGGTGCTGGCTCTGCTCCTCCTGACTATGACTTTAAAGATAGCTCTTCTATTAAGAAAATCCTTTCCCCCCAGTATCTGTCCTTGTTAGTCTTTCAGCCATTGTAGACATTTATCATCGCTCAGAGCAGGTGCATCTTCACGTTCCCTAAGATAACCCCCTCTCACAAATATGTCCTGTTTTTATGACTCTGCCTTCATTTTCACCAAACTTTTTCTTTCTTCTATGACTTCTAGCGCTTGTTCTACTGTTTCTTCTGGTATTTCCTTTCCACACTGGTTCCGCTCATCTCATCTCCCCATCGCCCTTGCCTAGGCTCCCCAGCCAGCCTTTTCAGCACTGAGTTGTCAATGCCTTCTTTTCTCTACCACACCTGAGCAGCGCTATCCTGTGTAATGTTCCAGGGGACCGACTGAATCCACAAAAACCGACTTGCTGCTCTAAAGCTCTCTCACTTTTATGTTATACGGAATGTTTTCTAAAATAACAGTCACAGAATGTTTTTCTCCTCACATCACTGCTCCCTTGTCAATTTCCAAACTCTTCAAACCTAACACTCCCTGTTTTAGAAGAATGAGTCGAACTAGAGTAAGAAGGACCAACTTTCCACTTCTGTACTTTATCATTGTAACTAGACAATTTTAAATACCTGAATATCCCCATATCTTGATTGTTATTTGGTTTATAAAGGCTAAGGAGCTCATAGTTTAGTGTGGAAAATGGATAAGAAACAATTATTGAATGTGATTATTGAATGTGTCTATAGCAGAAAAGAACTGAATATATTTGGAGCATAGAGGTAGAAATATTTTCTTCCCATCAAATTGACTGGTACATTTAAAACAAACAATACAGTTATATTTATCAGTGGGGTCTTGTATCTTTACATATGTCTTGGTTCTTATTTTTTCCCACCCCGCTGCCCTCCCTTCATTTTAATCTCCATGAATCTCCTCAAAATGATATCATATATTAAGAGAATAGCAAAGCCTCTTCAGTGGCAGATCACATGATGTTCAAGATGACAAGGCAGATTTTTGTTTGTAGAATGTTCTTTATTTTGATGATAATAAATGAACTATTTATATACACACTGTTTTTTTGAAAGGTAGGCCATAAGACATTGAAAATGGGAGAAAAATAGCAGTTCATTTGTTGACTACTAATAAGATCAACCTAATTTTATTTTTTCATTTCATTCTTCCTATTCTGTCACATGGTTCTGCCAAACATGCTCATTTTCCCTCATTCCTCAGCAACCTTGCATTCACAGAACTTTCTGACCTGGAAGGCTGCATTAAAATTTACTTTATCGTGAGCTAGTTTTCCTATATATGTCTTCAGAATAAGAGAACTATCCTCTTGAGATTAACTTTACCAAATAACCCAAGAGGATTAACTGCAACAGATTTATAAGCATATTTGTTGCCTTAACAACTCTTGTAGGTGTGTGTTTTTGTTCGTATCCTTCAGGAGAATATAGCCCTCAAACTTGGAGTTCAAATTAGCCAGGGTAATGACAAGGAGGAAAGATTTTTCATGTTTGATCATTAGAGCAATATGACAGATGCATTACAAGGATGAACTCGATTGCTTTTCTCAAAACTGAGAAGCTGTCGCTGTGAATTCTGCTTTTGAAGCATGTCACTTCATTGTGATATACATCTGCTTACATTTGGGCCCAAGCAAGTGATATATCTCACCATTCTACACTGCTATAATGATAATATGTCATTTACATAAGAAACAATTACATTCAATAGTATTTTAAAGTTGTAGATGAAATTGTTAAGATACACTTTGAATGAATACTTTGAGTTCACTCTCTCTCTTATATTCAGGTTCAAAACATTATTTGTGGCTGGAGAACGATGTGATGTAGAGACCCTGGAATGGTCCAAAAAGGTCTTCAGAGTACCTGTCCTAGACCATTGGTGGCAAACTGGTGAGCATTTTCCATACATGTGCAGAAATATTATCGAATGTTCACAAATTCCACAAGGATTAGAGAGAATCCAAGCTATTTTTATGAGGTACCAACTCAAGGTTCAAGTGGTTCTGGTTTCAGTAGAAAGTAAAAGTTCTTTATCACATTGCTTTTGAAAAGTAGTGGGCTTGCATTAGAATCTCTGTAACCCTTTTCCGTTTTAAACACTCCAGTTTCTTCTATACAGCTTACAAGGCAGAGGAATTTATTTTTGTACAAAGCAATTATAATAATATATGCAATTTACTTATTTACTGGTTTTGTTTATTCTCAGTTTTCCTCAGACTAGTGATCCTTGGAAAACAAAATTTTATATGTAAGTAGACAGCATATAAATTTTGGAAAAAGGAAATAAGGAAAGAAGCAGCAACCTTCTTTCTGTTTCTTTTGAGGGATGGCTTTGCCTGTATGTGAGAGTGGATAGATGGGTTGAAATCTGTTTTCCTCCTTACTGATTATAGGGATGCTTTTTTCCCTCTGACTCAGTGAAAGTAGTTATGGGAGTGCTATAGCTTTCATATGTTCATAGTTAAAATTCACTTCCATTTAGTTCTATGAATTACACCAGCCCCTTTATATTCAAGTATCAATACTCTCATTTTCTGATTACTGTGAGTAAAAGCAAATTTGTATTAAAAATTAATTAAGCTTCTTTGCAAAAAGTAGCTCTAATTGTAAAATGTTTGTAGTCTTTAAGGTCAAGACAATAACTAGAACAAGTTCAATGACTTTTTTAAGGGACAACTTAGTGAAGGGTTTGTATACCCAGAATTTGTGGGTTTTTTTTTTTTCTGCCCATTGTCTGAACATCTTCTGCGTAGTTTCTATCTGGAGTTTAAAAGGGAAGTGTTTTAATTGTCCTTATATCCAGTGAATGATGTCGTAATTTACTTGGCTTTAATGGAGGAATAAAATTCATCATAGAATTTAACCCATCTAAGGAGGGATTTAAATGAGAAAAATTATAATTCATCTAATGGATTGAGAAATTGGTGATGATTTATGGTATTGATTTTGCTTCAACTGCCTTTCCCCATCTGAAGTTATTATGTCTCAGAGTAGCGTATTTCTCTTCCTATTGATTGAACTGCTGTGTTTTAAATTGCAGCTGTAGTTTAGAAGTAATTGTAGTCTATATAGTGCCTAAATCTTTTTTTGAGGAGGGATTTGAAAATCCTGGATTTTATTAAAATGGACCTGCAAACTTCAATTATGTCAGTTCTTCTATCTAAACCATTTTTTCCAAAGGGCACATATTCACTAATGCCATATTATTAAAGTGCATCAAGGCTACTTTCTATGACAATCCTTACTCTTGTAGGGTGGGTAATGTATATACTTTCTAGGTGGAGAAAACTGGGACAGTGATTTTCACCACAAAAATTGGTTAGCTGACTGAATTCACTTCTTATCCTTAAGTATATCTGGAGAAAATCCCTTAACCTACAATGTTTTTTTTTTTGTTTTTTGTTTTTTAAATGATACATAGGGCCAGAGGATTAGCTCAGTGACACTGGGCCTGCCTTGTGAGCACAAGGTCCTGAGTTTCAACCCCCAGTACCTTTAAAAAAAAAACCCCCAAACCAATACTATCATTTATGAGAATTAAACTATAAAACAATAATTTCATAGCAACTATCCTAACCAGAGATATTTATGTGAAATGATATAGGCACAAGTACTGTACTGTGTCATTCCTCATAGGTAAACTGATTACAAAACACTTAACTGGGATGTGAAAATTTGATAGGTAGTGTATGAGACCAATTCAGGTTTGTTTTTTCCTGAATCATTCTTTTCCTTCAATACTCTTGGCTTCTCAGAGATTCTGTTTCTGTCTATATGGATATACTTACTGTAGAAGGATTTGAATTTGGTAGTTTACAGTTACAAGTTAGTCTACTATAGGGAATTTTCTTCATCCCTCTTATTATGTTATTATTATCCTTCTTACTACCTTCATTTTTAAAAAGTTTTTGATTATACTTTTTTCCTTTTATTGAGTTTATTTGTACATTTTAGGTATATAGTGCAGTTACATGCATTACTGGGATCTTGCACCTTTACATGACAGGTGGTCTTGGTTCTCATTTTTCCCCTTGTCCCTGCCCTCCCTTCACCCCTCCTCCCTCCCCATCTACAAACACTTTATTTCCATTATTTTCATTTTCTCATTTTTCCCTTATTAGCTTTCCCCTACCCTTCCCACTTTCCCTACACCTTTAGCCTTTTTATTCCCATTTCGCAATATCAGTTTTTCATTTTCTCATTTTTCCCTTATTAGCTTTCCCCTACCCTTCCCACTTTCCCTACACCTTTAGGCTTTTTATTCCCATTTCACAATATCAGTTGTCTCATTAGGATCTTATATACTATTACAGTTTATTCACACCAGAGAAACTATTCGGTATTTACACGTGTGACTTATTTATTTCACTTAGGAGTATATCCTCAATATGTATCTATTTTCCTATGAATGAGTCTAATTTCTCATTCTTTATGGCTGACTAGTATTCCATTTTATAGAAAAACCACATCTTGTCACTTAGGAGTATATCCTCAATATGTATCTATTTTCCTATGAATGAGTCTAATTTCTCATTCTTTATGGCTGACTAGTATTCCATTTTATAAAAAAAACACATCTTGATTATCCAGTCTCCAACTGATGGGCAAATGGGCTGTTTCTAAGTTTTACCTATTACAAACTGTGCCGCTATAAACATGGGTGTGTATATATCACTCTGGTATTATTCTTTTAGTTCTTTTGGAAAGATACCCAGAAGAGGGATGGTTGGGTCAAATGGAACCTCTAGTCCCAGCTCTTTCATTTTAATTTTACCACTATATGATGTATATGACTTTCTTCCAATCTCAACATAGCTTGTACCCCATGCAAAATCTTTCGAAATTTATTGCAATCACCCGACCAGGGAGAAGGAAGCAGTAGGAAAGAGTATTCTTGATGCCTTTTCCTTTAAGGCTCCATCTCTGATTGTTTGCAAATCTATTCTCTGTGTATTGGGTGCCAAAAGCCACTAGTCAATGTTACTCTGGCTGCAGCTATGGGAGCAAAATATTTGGAGCTACAATCAAATGCTACCTTCAAAGTTTTAAAGTTTTAAAATTTGTAATTTCCTGTCTCTGACTTTTGCTCTGTGATTTCTGACTCAATCAAATGTGGGCTATTGTAATAGAATGTCTTTAAATACTTCCTCTTTATATTCACAGCCAACGCACTCACCTAGTGGCAGGGAGCACAGAGGATCTCAGAGGGTGGGTGGACTAGATCGACCATACCATGAGCTACGTTGTGCAACAGTTACCCTAAATTATTTTCAAACACTACAGTACAAAAAGTTTTTCAGTAGTATGAATGAATTGCTACTGTCTGATGCTTTTCTGTTTTTCTCAATGTAGTGGCCAGAAATAAATCCATCTTTTTTAGTCATAGAAAAGACATTTTTGATAACTCAGTCTAAGAAGTTGTGATTGGAGAAAAAGAATTGAATAGAAATAGTGTCATTTCAGTAACATGAGGCTAGAAATACTATGACAGTGTCCATCTGTTGAGAGAGAAAAATAACAGAATCTTGAAGTCATCACTATTACCAGATAACAATATTATTCTAATTTAGAGCAGTCCACATTAAAAGTTTAAAGTGGGTGATTTTACTATTAATTTGAGAAACAGAAGTCTAGAGGCGAGCTATGTGAATTTGGTTTGTGACAAGAATAATCTTTTGTCAAAAGTAAGGCATGTTTAATAAGACTTTCTCTTTTTGAAAGTGAAAAACTGTTTACAAATTGTTGGTCCACCTGAAAATGAATTCTCAAACCAAATTACAGTCACTGAATTGGGTATTTTCTTCTCAAGTATGAAATGTTGAAAGAACATCAAATTGTTTTTTATTAAATATCATTACATGAATCAGCATAGATATGTGTAATTGCTTAATAGAATCACTATTTGACCCCATTATGACATTAGGGAAACTGTTTTGACAAGGGATCAACAACTGGGAAATCAATTAATGCAGTTGGTTTGGTCTTTAAAACATCATCTATTCTAATTCTCCTGCCCTTGGCAAGATCTTATTTAATCAACCCCAGAAAGCTGAAAGTATGTCATATTTTTATAGATCTCCACAAGAAGAAGAGTTCTAAACTGTTCTTGTAGGAATCTTACTGTCTGGAAAGTTAATTCCATTATATCATGCAAACCCCTGCACTGGAACACCCTGGCACTGCAAAATAGTTTCCCAAATCCTCTCTTTGTTTTGTTGTCACTTTTAGTTTGGAAAACAGCAAGTGTCTATGCTCTTTGGAAAAACAATGTGAGAAATCAAAAGCGATTTTGAAACCTAATAGGAAAGTGCTTAAATCCTAGTTCAACCATGTACTCTATATAAATATGTACAAGCATCTCAATAGCATCTCTCTTTGTTTTGTTGTCACTTTTAGTTTGGAAAACAGCAAGTGTCTATGCTCTTTGGAAAAGCAATGTGAGAAATCAAAAGCAATTTTGAAACCTAATAGGAAAGTGCTTAAATCCTAGTTCAACCATGTACTCTGTATAAATATGTACAAGCATCTCAATAGCACTCTCAGTCTTTAGTCAACACTCAGTATTATTTTCCTTCTCCTATCCTTTCTATAAATGTCCTTCCAAGAATGTACAGGCCATCTTTAACATCCTGGTTAGTAGATACTGAAAACCATAAAGAGTTTAATTTCCTAAAATCAGATAGCTCATCACCATCAAGAACGAGCACGCTCACTGTTCTGTGTTACCAAATGCCTTCTCTTCATATGTTTTAGGCCATGCCTTCATTAATTCAGTGTTTCTAATCTCACTGAGCTGCCGGTTATTTGGGGGCTTTTTCATTGAGTCATCTTCAACATAGTGGTAAAGAAGTGAGATCAGGCCAGTATCTCATATCTTGAATTAATGATCT